AGGAGACAGTGTCTGCAGCTCGAACCGTTCATTACCAGCTGGTGTAAAGACGTTCATCGTAGAAGGTGCTCTTTCTATTTACATGCGAGAGAGCATTCGCTCTGTTGCACTTCTTTTCAAACTCTATCTCCGTCGACAGAGTCATCGAAGGATACATAGGATTACACCGCTCTTATATATGCACTCGGAAAATGGCGACCCTCGAGTGTGTTGGAGACGTGCTGCACGTTCAGCTTCCGAGCCCTCCTCTTCTTGCCCGCCCAATCGAGGTAAGAGAGCCAATCTGCCTCACCTACAGCCCACTCCTGACTTTACAACTGCATATTTATACATTATTTTAATTTCTTGATTCCTCTGATATTGGGATCCACGTTACGCCGTCCTTGTCACTTCCTACCATAGTATACAGGGTGCTGTTTATTTTTTTAAACCTAATACCATTTTATGATATAACTGACGTATTGTGAACGGGAAACTCGGGAACAGTCAGGACAAATGGGAGTTAAATAATGAAGGACACGTTGAATATTGACACCTACCTGTCAAATAATGCGACGCGCAGTGCGTAATTGTGCGAGATTCTATGCAGCGCACTATTGGTTCCTTATAACTGTGGGGGTTACGTTATTCCCATATTCCGTTGCGGTTCTGCTTTGGTCGAAACAGTTGACAATGAATAACTATGCTGTACGTCGCCACGTTGCTGCAATCTCATGGGAATAAATTTTCCTTGGGTTGAAGACTGTTGCCAAGTTTCACGGATATGACAGTCATAAGAATTATCCTGTACTTGCTGGTAGAGCGGCGTAACTCGGCACGAGAAGTAGCGATACATGATGGGATCGGTGCCGCGTGAGTCATTTTGTGGCATTGAGGGAAAGTATACCGTGAGCTTTACTGATGGAACTCCAGACACTTGGAAGAAGATGCTGGCATCAACCAAGTCTTCAGTCAGCTCTGGGTCTAATTCACATTCCGCAATGTGTTATTCGGAGTTTGATTGAATCCAATAGATTTTATTATTATTATTATTATTATTATTATTATTATTATTATTATTATCATCATTATTATCATTATTATCATTATTATCATTATTATCATTATTATCATTATTCTCATTATTATCATTATTATCATTATTATCATTATTATCATTATTATCATTATTATCATTATTATCATTATTAT